AGACAGAGAGAAAGGTCTTCCTTTTGCCGTTGGTTCACCCTCCAATGGCCACCGCGCTGCGGCCAGCGCACCGCGCTGATCCGATGGCAGGAGCCAGGTGCTTCTCCTGGTCTCCCATGCGGGTGCAGGGCCCAAGCACTTGGGCCATCCTCCACTGCACTCCCTGGCCACAGCAGAGAGCTGGCCTGGAAGAGGGGCAACCAGAAAAGAATCTGGTGCCCCGACCGGGACTAGAACCCGGTGTGCCGGCGCCGCTAGGCGGAGGATTAGCCTAGTGAGCCACGGCGCCGGCCCTACCTTCTGATACAGACCATGGGAGGCAGCAGTGATGGCTCAAGCAATTAGGCTCCTGCCACCCAAGTAGGAGACCTGGATTCAGTTCCTGGCTTTGGCTTCAGCCCAGTCACAGCTGTTCTGGAGATTTGGGGACTGAAACAAAATGATTACCCCGCTGTCATTTTAAAAATTAATTTAGGGGTGGCTCCGTGGCTCACTTGGCTAATCCTCCGCCTGAGGCGCCGGCACCCCGGGTTCTAGTCCCAGTTGGGGCGCCGGTTACTAGTCCGGTGCTCCTCTTCCAGTCCACTCTGCTGTGGCCCAGGAGGGCAGCAGAGGATGACCCAAGAGCTTCGGTTCCTGCACCCACATGGGAGACCGGGAAGAGGCACCCGGCTCCTGGCTTCTGATCGGCCGTGTTGGCCATCAGAGGAGTGAACCAACGGAAGGAAGACTTTTCTCTCTAACTCTGTCAAATAAAAAAAAAATTTTAATTAATTTAGGGGGCCGGCAGCCGTGGCTCACATGGCTAATCCTCCACCTGTGGCACAAGCATCCTATATGGGCACTGGGTTCTAGTCCTGGTTGCTCCTCTTCCAGTCCAGCTCTCTGCTGTGGCCCGGGAGGGCAGTAGAGGATGGTCCAAGTGCTTGGGCCCCTGCACCCACATGGGAGACCAGGAGGAAGCACCTGGCTCCTGGCTTCAGATTGGTGCAGCTTAGGTCGTGGCGGCCATTTGGAGAGTGAACCAACAGAAGGAAGACCTTTCTCTCTGTCTCTCCCTCTCACTGTCTGTAACTCTACCTAATAAAAAAAAATTATAAAAAAAAATTAATATAGGGGCCGGCGCTGTGGCATAGCAGGTGGGGCCTCCACCTGCAGTGCCGGCATCCCATATGGGCGTGGTTCAAGACCCGGATGCTCCACTTCTGATCCAGCTCTCTGCTGTGGCCTTGGAAAGCAGTAGAAGATGGCCCAAGTCCTTGGGCCCCTGCACCTGCATGGGAGACCCAGAGGAAGCTGCTGGCTACGGATCGGCCCAGCTCTGGCCATTGTGGCCAATTGAGGATTGAACCAGTGGATGGAAGACCTCTCTCTTTGCCGCTCCTCCTCTCTCTGGGTAATTCTGACTTTCAAATAAACAAACAAATCTTTAAAAATTATATCTTTTTAAGATTTATTTGAATGGTAGAGTTACAGACAGTAAGAAGGAGAGAGAGAGGTCTTCCTTCCATTGGTTCACTCCCCAGATGGCTGCAACGGCCGGAGCTGCGCCGATCCAAAGCCAGGAGCCAGGTGTTTCTTCCTGGTCTTCCATGCAGGTGCAGGGGCCCAAGGACTTGGGCCATCTTCTACTGCTTTCCCAGGCCATAGCAGAGTTGGATTGGAAGAGGGGCAGGCAGGACTAGAACTGGGCCCATATGGGATGCTGGCGCTGCAGGTGGAAGATTAACCTACTGCGCCATGGAGCCAGCCCCTAAAAAACTGATTTAAAAAAGAAATTCTACAATACAATTGTAGAGGCAAATGCTTGAGACAGTTAAACACAGCCAAAGATTTTCTACAAACTCTATACCCTTTGAACAAGTCCACCTGTTCTTCTGAAATGCTGAGAGACTAGCAAAATGGAATAAAAGCTGTGTTGTCTCTGTTTTCAACAGGTACTTATTGCATTCTCAGTCAACACATCCTACACATCATTCCAGCAATGAGAAAGGAGTCCAGTCATACATGCCAAGTGAACAATTCCTCCCACTGCCTCTGTACAACACAAATCAGTAAGAATGGCAAAATGAAGCCAGAGTGGCAGGAAAGAATGCTCTCTAGTTCCCACTTCTATGAATATTAACAGTTTTACACTTTACTCTAAGTCTATTTCTGTTAGACAACCATTTGAAAAGCCAAGAACAGCAAAATACTAGGTCCATTGAAAAATAAAACACTTGGGGCTGTGGTGTAGCAGGTAAAGCTACTGCCTGCATTGCCAGCACCCTATATGGGCACCAGTTCAATTCCCAGCTGCTCCACTTCTGATTCAACTCCCTGCTATGGCCTGGGAAAGCAGTAGAGGATGGCCCAAGTGCTTGGGCCCCTGCACCCGTGTGGGAGACCCAGAAAAAGCTTTTGGTTCCTAGCTTTGGATCAGCCCAGCTCCAGCTGTTGTGGCCACCTGGGGAGTGAACCAGTGGGTGGAAGACTGCTTTCTTTCTCTCTGCCTCTCTGTAACTCTGCCTTTCAAATAAATGAATAAATCTTCTGTCTGCTAAACATATTAAAAAGGAAAAATAAAACACTACCAGAGCAAAATTATTATAACAAAGACCCAAGTTCTCTTATCATTTTCCAGGACATTACAAATGACATTAACATAAATTCTTAAAGGTTAAGTACTAGATTTCAGATAAACTAAAGAACACATTACTTTGCTTTTGAGGACTTTTTTAATTCACATATTCTGTGACTTAAGGACCATGATTATCTGACTTCAAGGAAGCTAATTTTGTTTGCATCTTTTCACAAAAATATTAAGCAATAAACATCAGAATTTAGACATGTGACTCACTACTATGCAACAGGACAACTTTTCAACTCTAGACTGATAACCTCCAGGCAAGCAAACTTGTGCTTGCTAACTTTCCATAATGTCTACTTACTACAAACTTCATTAATGGATTGACCATAGTTATCAAGCCAAAAAAATTAATACTGTAACATGAAATGAGACAGAATTAATGTTTATTGAGTAACTACCAACTGGTAGGCAAATCAGCTTAATGTTTGACGTATCTCGTTTAAAACACAAAACAACCCTCTGAGATAGGCCCTACAAAGACCATTTACAGATTGGAAAACTGTAACTTGCTTATGACAAATCTACAAAATGTCAAGGCAACAATATGAAACTAGGTCTTACTCCGAACCCAGGAATCAAACTACACCCTGGATACCACATCTTGAAACTCAAACAAAATAAGCTAACATTTCAACACAGGGATATTAACAGACAGATTCAGCTTCCACGCTCCAGGATCAATATTAAAGTGCAGGTAAAAGAATTATTATCATTTATATAAAATTCTGCACTGGAAGAGTAAATAGACAAGATTCTCCTTGTGGTTCCTAGCAATATATAAATCTCCAAAACTAGTTCCAAGTGATCAGAATTATATTGACCAGCACTGACTTCATTTAGATACCATGAAACCAGCAACTTCATGGTAATCAACCCAGACTGCTCCATTTAAACTTTATTTTCTGGGACTTCTTTTTTGATTTCTCCAATCTTTTCATTACATTTTTCTTTGCAAATGTTTTGACTGTCATGTCCCGTATGCACACAAAGAAAAAGGACAAATCTGAACTCAAGGCTCAAGACTGAAAATGTATCACACTGTGGAGAGGTAACTAATATCTTGTAAGGAAACTGACAATACAATCCAGTCCTAAGTTTACATAATACATAAATGAAGCATCTAAGTATCTTCAGTCAGTAACAGTACTACCTATTCACTCCAATGTGTGCAAAGCTCATATCATTCCTGAATCTGAGACTATTGGATACAATTGCACACTTTCCCCTATGAGCCCTGGGTGCAAAGGGAACAATTTAAACAGCAGCACCATTAAGCGCATCGTGATTATCTGGTTTAAAGCTTCAACCCAAGCAGAAAGGTAAAGAGCTAAACATTCCCTAAAATTTCCATTTCATAAAAAGCTCTGTCTGCACAGATACAAGATTTTTAAGAACTTTTTAATAAAAGTTTTAACATTCTGGACTTGTGACTTTTGCTTAAAAAAAAAAAAAAAAGGGCAAGAAAGCCACAGAAGTCAACGTTATCTACAGTCACAAGATGAGCCCAGGAGAGTTCACAAAAACAAACAACGACGGTGAATATGGTTGAGATCCACAAGGCACAGGAAAAATATAAATACTGGGTCTTCCAATCATTAACTCTTAAATGTTTTCTTGGGCGTCATTCACGTTGTAGTAGACGAAAAACTGTCAACTCTCCATTTTCCAGGTCACTGTGTGGACTCCCAAGGTCCACTAACTTCTGGCCATCTCAGTTCTCAGTTCATCCTTTTTAACCACAGGGTGGGGGAAGGGAGAGCTCAAAGTTACTTCACTTTACTGCTCCTATTAATCTCATGTGGGAAGAAAGGATGAAATTAACCCACAACATTTCACCCACCTAACTGCTTGAACAAACTCTCTAAACAGGCCTTCGGAGTCATAAATGAAGTTGCTGGCTCCGGGGAGACCTGAGTTCAGACAGGCAGGCGGGTTTCAAGACTTTCCATATGGGATAAACCATGGCGCTCGAGCCCCAACTTCCCAGTCTCATCCTTGGCGAGAAGCTCCGGACCGCGAAGCTTGCACGTGGGCCGGCCTGGTTGCTGCTGTCACATCTCGTCGCCAGTCGGCAGGTGGGATCCAGGCCCGAGCGCGGACCCCCCAAAGCGGGGCTGGGGTCGGCTCGCCACTGCCTTCGGCCAAAGAGTCGAGAGGCCACACTGCCCGCCTGATCCACATGGTCGCCGAGCGGAAGGAGAGAGGGCACCATCGGGCCCTAGGCTCGTGCCTGGACCCGCGGCTGCCTGGACCCGCGGCTCCCAGGCCCGGGCGGCGCCCCTGGGCCGGGAGTTCGCCCGCCGGCGGGCAATCCCGCCCGCGACAAGGCCGGCCCATTCCCGGGCTGCCCAGCGCCCCAGCCCGCACCCACCTTGACGTCTTCATCCTCGTCCTCGCCTTCCCAGCGGTCCCCACCAGCGGTGCCGCCGCCCCCCACCTTCCGCACCGGGTCTTCCACGGAGAACGTGTCCGCGTCTACGGAAGAGAGCGAGCCGCGTTAGTGCCTGCCTCGGCGTGGGGCCGGCATCGGCCCGGGCCCTGCCCCCGGGGACTTCGCCTCACCCCAGGAGTCCGAGTCGCCCGCCGCTGCCGCCGCCGCCGCCATCTCGAGCCGGGTGTGAGCGTGTGTGAGGGGAGAGCTGGCGCGGAGTTAGCGCGGCGGAGGTGAGTCACTGGCTTTGCTCTCGTTGGCCCGCGCGGGGCAGGCTGGGACCGTGGCTGACTGTGCGCCCGGGCCGAGGCCCCGCCCCTCCTGGCGGCGCGGGCGACGCGCACTGCCGGGGCGGGGACTGAGGCGGGCGGCGCGTCCAGCTCCCCACGACGCGGGACTGTGCTGCGGGCTCGCGGGGCGGTGGAACTGTCTACCCCAGCGTGGGTCCCGGGGAGGAAACGTGAGTGCAGGGAAGTGGGCGGGGCGGTCCCCCGGCTTGGCGTTTGGCCCTCGCTGGCCCTCACCGCCCCTCCCGCTGTTCTCGGAGATCCGCGCCCGCCGCCGCTGGCGGGTGGTGTTCTCTCCGTGCGGCGCGCGGACTCGGGCTCTCCGCGCCACGCCCGCCGGTGTACGCGGCGGACCGGCCTCCCCGACCTCTCTCCAGTGCAGTCGAGCTGTAATGAGCAGGGGATCCTCTTGGAAAGCCTGCGTGTGCGGGGCGTCGAGGAACGAGCGAGGTGGACAGACCGCGTCCGTGGCGGCCTTCCCGATCCGGATGGCCAGAGCCACTCCGAACGCGGTTGCGTCCAGTTAGTCACCAGTGGATCGAAGACAGCCCCAGCCCCCTAGGCTTTTCCAAACTTCCTGGGAGCCCCCTGAGGCCAGCACATTGATTCATTCTTTTACAGACCAGTTTTGGGGCTCTGGTGCCTGCCTTGGGTATAAGCTCTAGCCTTGTCCTCCCCAAGTAGCAAAGACGGACAGGTAAACAGATTTCGGCACAGTGTGATGACTGCAACTGAAAGAAGCATTATGAGGTTACTTGTAAATAGGTGACATTAAGGGCAGCGGGCGCTGGAGGGTGCAGGAAAGGCTTCCTGGGGTTAGGCGCGGCGAAACGGCAATCGGAAAGACCCAGAGACATTTGCTCGAGAGCATTTCCGGTAGAAAGAACGCGCGGTGCCCCTCATCTGGCTGGCGCCATTGGAGGTAAACCGAACAGGTAAACTGAACAGTAAGGGCTTGAGATGGGCTAAACTCTCTGCCCCTGGGGCCACTGGGCTCCCCTGTAGGACTTTAAGGGGTGGGCGGTTTCAGATGTTTTTATTTTGGTTTTATATTTATAACTTGCTACAATATCTGAATTTTAAAGAGGTAGAGGGGTGGGTGTTCAGGCTAGCGTAGGAGTGCCTGCTTGGCACTGATTTCCTGCTTCCTGCTCATGTAGGTACTAGGAGGCAGTGGTCGTGACTCAGATGCCTGGGTGTCTGCCACCCACATAGGAGACCTGGGTTAGTGCTCTTGTGGGCATCTGGGGAATGCTCCAGCAGATGGGAGCTCTGTCAGTCTGTATTTCTGTTTGCCCTAAAAATAAATAAATAAATAAATGTGATCAGTTACTGGGTCTGTTCTAGTAGCAACAATTGTGGCTCATCTTTTGTGTATTTTTTTAGAGCCTACAAATAAACATTTTATAAGGATGGTCTATCAAGAGATATTCTACAAGACGGGCAATGACCTACAGGCTTCTATTTATAAAGAATAGATTGGAAGGCAGCAAGACAGAAGGCAGAGAAAGGCAGGAATGTAAGTCCCTAAGGGCCTGGTCTAAGAATTGTATCTCCAACATATAGCATAGTGCCTGATACATGTTTTAGGGATGAATGAATTAAATGAGAACACCACAAAAATACCTTGAAGTGATGGTAATGGAGAGAAAGAAACCAATCTATACCTAAGTCAGAATCAATAAAATTTAATAACTGTGCTGGTTAATTCTGTATAACAACTAGGCTAAGCAGTGGTACACATGTTCCCCAGTTTTTGGTCCAACAGTCCAGTTGTGGTTGTGAATATATTTAAATATGATTGACATTTGAATCCATAGATTTGAGTAAAGCAGATTAACTTCCATAATGTGGATGGGCCTCATCCAGCCAGGCCAAATTAAGACAAGCCTTTCAGGAAGAAGGAATTCTGCCTCAACTGCGCTATCAAATCTTCCTGGGATCTACAGCTACTTGCCTACCATGCAGATTCTGGACCTGGCAAGTTCCCCAGTTGTGTAAGCACTTTCTTTAAAATTAATCTTTTTTATGTTCTATTTATCTGCTTCTCGAACCCTGACTATTATAGTAACTGGATATGGAGGAGGAGACGAAGGGAAATGGAAAAGATGATCCCTTTGGAGCTTGAATGAGTGGTAATCACAGTATTCTGGTTGCTTAAGTCAAAGCTATCCTTGATTTCTGCCCTTCTCCCACCCCTAAATTCAGTGTCATCAAATTCTGTGGTTTTCTGTATTAATCTTGAAGCCACTGAGTTCTTTCCTGGTCTTCTGCTCCCATCTTAATCCAGACTACACTGTTCTATAACTTTGCAATTGATCTGTCTTATTCCATTTTCCCCCTCCACAATCTGTTTACTCCATACTAGGCAGTTTATATAAACATGCAAATCAGAAGCTGGCATTCAGCCTAGCAGTTAAGAAACCTATTAAGTCTCCTATATCCCATGTTGGAGTGCCTAGGCTCCTGATTTCAGATTCCTGCTAAAGCACACCCTGGAAGATGGTGGTAACAGGTCAAGTGATTGAGTTCCTGCCACCCATGTAGGAGACCTGGATTTTATTCCTGGATTCCAGCTTCAGCAACCCTTACCCAGCCAAAGTCCAAGCCCGACAACTGGTGCATTTGAAGGTTGACAGCAAATAGTTCTGTCTCTAACTTTTATGCATCTCAGATAAATAATTTTTAAAGGTAATAAAAATGTAAAGATCACTCAGATAAATAATTTTTAAAGGTAATAAAAATGTAAAGATCATGGCACATGTAACCGCCAGTTGCAATTAAATAGAAGCCCTTTTTTTTTTTTTTTTTTTTGACAGGCAGAGTGGACAGTGAGAGAGAGACAGAGAGAAAGGTCTTCCTTTTCAGTTGGTTCACCCATCAATGGCCGCTGTGGTCGGCGAACCGCAGCTGATCCATAGCCAGTGGTCTCCCATGCGGGTGCAGGGCCCAATTACTTGGGCCATCCTCCACTGCACTCCCGGGCCACAGCAAAGAGCTGGACTGGAAGAGGAGCAACTGGGACAGAATCCAGACCCAACTGTGCTGGCGCTGCAGGCAGAGGATTAGCCTATTGAGCCATGGTGGCGGCCAATAGAAGCCATTAAATTTTGACTCCTTACCATGGCCTGCAGGGCCCTCATAACTTTCTCTCTCTCTCTCTAACTTCATTGCCCTCCAAAAGCTACTAAGCTTTTCCCTGTTTGGGCAGATTATACTTCCTGTTCCTTCTGCCTGCAGTACTCCTTCCACACTTTGCATGATTAACATCTGTTCCTCCCTCTCATCAAAGCTTGAATGTTATCTTTGCATAAAGCTCTTCCCTGATCTCCAGCAAGATATCCCCAGTTACTGTCTCATCACTCTCTTTTTCTCACTGTATTTATCACAGCCTGTAAGGATCTTGTTTAATGTCTAGAGGGTCCTTGTCTGTGTTCTGGATAGCACATATGGCACATGCGTTCTGCCTGACACATAATCAATATTTAGTATATATCTCTGAAAATGGCCGAATGGTGCCTATCATCATATGGAACACAGGATAAGTTGGGTTTGGCTACACAGATGTTGACAATTCCAGTGGGATATCCAAATGGAAATACCTGATACACTTTGGAGCTAGAGATATCTGGACTGCAGATGAAGAATTAAGAATCACTGATTATGTTGCTGCATGAAAGCAGAGGTCTTCTGAAGATGCCAGAGAAGGAACAAAAACCTTAAAGGCCATTGCCATATAAGGACCAGCCAGAGGAAAAAGGTGTAGGGAGGATAGTAAATTTTTTTTTAAAGATTTATTTATTTGAAAGTTAGTTACACAGAAAGAAGGAGAGGCAGAGAGAGAGAGAGAGAGAGGTCTTCCATCTGCTGGTTCACTCCTCAACTGGCCGCAATGGCCGCACCTGAGCCAACCCAAAGCCAGGAGCCAGGAGCTTCCTCCAGGTCTCCCCTGGAGGTGCAGGGGCCCAAGGATTTGGGCCATCTTCCGCTTTCCCAGGCCACAGCAGGGAGCTGGATTGGAAGTGGAGCAGCCAGGACGTGAACCGGCACCTATATGGGATGCTGGCACTGCAGGTGGAAGCCTTACTCACTATGCCACAGTGCCAGCCCCAAGGATAGTAATTTTTTTTAACATTTTTATTTATTTGACAGGTAGAGTTAGAGAGAGAGAGAGAGAGAGAGAGAGAGAAAGGTCTTCCTTCCATTGGTTCACCCCCCAAATGGCTGCTACTGCCGGCGTGCTGTGCCAATCTGAAGCCAGGAGCCAGGTGCTTCCTCCTGGTCTCCCATGCAGATGCAGGGCCCAAGGACTTGGGCCATCCTCCACTGCCTTCCCCGGCCACAGCAGAGAGCTGGCCTGGAAGAGGGGCAACCGGGACAGAATCTGGTGCCCTGACTGGCACTAGAACCCCGTGTGCCGGCGCCATAGGCAGAGGATTAGCCTATTGAGCCACGGCGCAGGCCCACAGTATTGTTATTTGTAAATTGTTTTGTTTTGTTTTGTTTTTTTAAACAAAAGACACAACATGGTAGAATTGGAAAGATACAAAATATTTTTTAAAAATTTACTATCCGGGCCGGCGCTGTGGCTCATTGGTTAATCCTCTGCCTGCGGCGCCTGCATCCCATATGGTCTCTGGGTTCTAGTCCCGGTTGCTCCTTTTCCAGTCCAGCTCTCTGCTGTGGCCAGGGAGTGCAGTGGAGGATGGCCCAAGTGCTTGGGCTCCTGCACCCACATGGGAGACCAGGAGAAGCACCTGGCTCCTGGCTTCAGATTGGTGTAGTTTCGGCTGTAGTGGCCATTTAGGGCATGAACCAATGGAAAAAGACCTTTCTCTCTCTCTCTCTCTCTCATAAATAAAAAAAATAAAAAAATTTTTAAAAATTCACTAACGAGGTCAGGAGACCTGGTACCAGTCATTAAAATGACTGTATTTTACTGAACTGAATACTGGACACTTCTGCTAAGATAAGGAATGCTCACACTGATTCCTCCTTTTCTGAAAATTGCCCTAGTGTAAAAGAGTAGGTAGGCTTCCCAAAGCCATAGCTGTTGCTTTACCATAGCCCACTTGGGGAAGGAGTCTGAAACAAATTAACTATGAAGCTAATGATGATTTAACTTTAGGGCTCCTGTTTGCACGGACTCCTTTTATTCTTCAAGAAAGCCCTCTAAACTATATGCTTAAACCTTATAAAATATGAATCTACCCCTAGAAGGGATATACATAACCCTGTGGAATCATCAATCTCCAGCATTGGCCCCCAGTAAACAGTTCTCAAGCCCTTTTGTAGTCTCCTCCCTTTGCCTCTGGGCTATTTTTTTTTTTTTTTTTTTTTTTTTTTTTTTTTTTTTTTTTTGACTAAAATCAGGTAGAAGTGATCCCCAAGCCTAGACCTGCAGCTTGCAACAAGACTTGCAGCTTCCAGTGGTACCTTTTGGAATACTCACTCTGGTGGAAACCCCTGCCATTTAAGCATTCTTACCCCCCTTAGATCACATAAAGAGCCTGTATAAAGAGAAAATGCAACCAGCCCGTCTATTCCAGCTATCCCAGCTGAGATGTCACTTGTTGGAATAAAGTAGCAATCTTGGGAATCCATCCTAGTTGAGCCTTCAGGTGATTCCATATCCCTAGTTACCGTATGAACGCAACCAAAGAAGACCCCAAGCTAGAGTTGCCCAGCTGACCCCAGCAACCTACAGATCAGTGAGAAAAGTCCTTTTAAGCATTGAGGTTTTGGAATGAATCATTATGAAGTAATAAATAACTGAAAGATTTTTCTCCCCAGGCTTTTAGGATTTGGAACTTGAAACTCCTAGAGCATGGGAGTTAGTGGGTGATGATGGCATTCTGAAGGGAGGGCCACAAACTACTGCTGAAGTGATTTTCAAAGATACTTTACTTCCTCCTGCCTTCTGTGAGGTCTATTTTTCCAGTTTTTCTTTAAATATCTGGAGGTACCCTAGGATCTTCTCAGTACATACATCCTAACACGATGTGATTACCGTCAAGTATTGAGAAGGTAATGCTGTGCTGCACGGAAGTCTGTGGTTGGCACCTCATAGGCACTTGTACTTACTATTGAATGGATACATTTCTGTGCAGAGCTGGGCTTCCCCACCACCACCCCTCCAAGAAAAACCTGCCTAGCAGGTCATTGTTTGTCTTCATGAAAGATAGTCCCAAAACATTAGCTGGATTCTGGGTCTTAAAGAGGCAAGTTTAAAAAAAAAAAAAATTATTAATAGAGCCACAGCATAGTAGCAGTGATGTGAACTAGGAGATAGTAAATTAGTGGCTAAGTAGATGCCAGATCCAATCAACTACCCCAAAGCAGAGTCTCAGGAAAGCAGGGTTATACATCTCTGTTTCTGAAGTGAGATGTTGTTATTTGTATTGACTTGGCTGAAGATGCTTTAAGACAACGTATCTTTAAAAAAAACAGTAATAGAAAGATGGTGAAATCCAGGCAAGGTAAAGCCAAAACAACAAAGTTTTGACAGTTTCCAGTTAAAAAGGTAAGCTAACCTGTAGACTTTTAGCAGATATTTAGAAATAAAGACATTCTGTTGATGTGATACTAGGCATTAGCATTCACTTTTTTTTTTTTTTTAAGGTTTATTTATTTGAAATGCAGAGTTAGATGGAGAGAGATTTCATCCCCTGGTTCACTCCCCAAATGGCTACAACAGCTAGGGCTGGACCAGGCTGAAGCTAGGAGCCTAGGGGAGTTTCTTTTGGGTCTCCCCAGTGGGTATAGGGGCCCAAGCACTTGGGCCATTTTCCAGTGCTTTCCCAGGTGCAATAGCAGGGAGCTGGATCGGAAGAAGAGTGGCTGGGACTCGAACTGGCACCCATGTGGGATGCCAGTGCTGCAGGCCACAGTTGTAACCTGCTACACCATAGTGCCGGCCCACAACATTCACTTTCAGCAGACACCTTTGTTCTACTCTTACCAAGCAGGCATCTGATTATGATTTACTTTCCTAAGGAAAAATCTGGCTTAAAAATTAGTGTGAACCACTTGCCATAAGACCATCAGTTCTGATGCAATGAACTAGTTTTCTGGACTTACCTAAACTTTGAAATGTAGCTTCATTCATGTATTTTTTTTTTTAAGATTCATTTATTTATTTGAAAGATAGAAATAGAGAAGGTGAGAGAGTGAGCGATATCTTCCATCTATTGGTTGACTCCCCAAATGACCGCAATGGCTGGGGCTGTGCCAGGCTGAAGCCAGGTGCAAGGAGCTACTTCCGGGTCTCGTGGGTGTAGGGGCCCAAGCACATGGGCTATCTCCCACTGCTTTCCCAGGCACATTAGCAGGGAGCTGGACTGGAAGTGGAGCAGCTGAGACCCGAACCTATGTATACAACATTAAGTAGGTTTTCTTTTTTAAGATTTATTTATTCGAGAGGCAGAGTTACAGACAAGAGAGGGAGAAGCAGAGACACAGATCTTCAATCTGCTAGTTCACTTGGCTCACTCCCCAAGCCGCACTGGTCAGAGCTGGGCTGATCAGAAGCCTGGAGCTTCTTCCCATTCTCCCACATGGGTGCAGGGGCCCAAGCACTTGGGCGGTTGTCTACTGCTTCCCAGGCCATTAGCCGAGAAGTAGCTGGGATGTCCATATGGGATGCCAGTGCTGCAGGCAGAGGCTTAACCTATTATGCCCCAGTGCCAGCCCCTAAATAGCTGTTCAAAGCAGAAATTGATCTCATTCATACTGCTGCTTTCAAATGAGGAAGGGAATCAAGTGTTCAGAACTGGAACTGTGTGTTAAGGACTTCATTTAGTCCTTAAAATATGTGAGTTACAGATTTTTAAGAAGAATTGATGAAGAAAAAGCTAATTGAATGACTTTTTTCCATTTTAAACCAAAACAAAGGAAACCTCAAGAATCTTGCAAGATCCTAAATGACATCATGTTTCCAACTCTATACATTTTTTTCATACTTACTTTTATAGGGTAACATAAAATCTTGAAGTGCTTTTTCAATCCTGTCTGGCAAATGGAGAAAACATGCCTGTTTTAGGGAATGCCTAAAATGTGCCTGGTTACTAAACACTCAGAAACCCAGACAGGCCATACTATCCTCAGAACCATAACCAGTCTCTTGACGTCAGACTACCCATTGTTAGGCCAGCATCCAATACATTAGCCACTTGCTGTCTTGGAGAAAGGGAATACTTTGTAAGGGGAATTATAAAATTTCTAACTGGTTTCTCAGCCACCCTTTTATTCTGAGGCCACTTCAGAAAAATGGCATTAGATGTTTATTTTGGTGCAAAAGTTTTAAATCTAGGCATAAAGACTCTTCATAAGGCTCATGGAAAATAAATGGAAAAAAAAAAGACAAATTTGGTTCCGGTGCTGTGGCTTACTTGGCTAATCCTCCTCCTGCGGCACCAGCACCTGGGTTCTAGTCCCGGTTGGGGCACCAGATTCTGTCCCAATTGCTCCTCTTCCAGTCCAGCTCTCTGCTGTGGCCTGGGAAGGCAGTGGAGGATGGCCCAAGTGCTTGGGCCCTGCACTCACATGGGAGACCAGGAGGAAGCACCTGGCTCCTGGCTTCAGATTGGCACAGCACGCCGGCAGTAGCAGTCATTTGGGGGGTGAACCAACGGAAGGAAGAACTTTCTAACTCTGCCTGTCAAAAAAAAAAAAAAAATTACAAATTTGGTCATTTACTGTCCTGCTTGAATCTTCTCTCCCCATCAAGACTTGTCTTTCAGCAAATATTCCAAGTATCCCTGCTTCAGTAATTGTTATGAGCACTCAAAGCCATTCTTCATGGCCCCTTTCCTAAAAATAATCGCATCTGACAGCACTGCTAGATTATAAGCTTGAGGGCAGTATTGCTTTTGCTTCCTTCTTCCATTCAGAGCCTGGCTTGATGCCTAACACTGTAAAGTAGTGCTATTTTTTTAAAATGCTATTTTGCTGTCATTAGGAAGGCTACCCATAGGACTAGCTATCTTTAACAAATAGTCAAACATCAAACACAATAAATATTAAAGCTTATTACTTGGTAGCCACTAAAAGCTCCAGTTCATTTGGTTCTTCCAGTACTCTAGGAAGTTCTTAACTTGGCTAGTCCTTCAGTTGAGCCTGGTACCACTGCTCACCAGGCTTCTTAAGCCATTCAATACTCACTCCTCAATTTCCTCACCACCCATTTCTTAACATACTCTTAACAGTCCTCTTCAGGATCACTTACCAGTCGCCATTTCTTTAAATGCATCCAACTGCCCATCTGTCTGGGGGGGGGGGGGGGACCTGTCATCTGCCATGTGACAGTATCCTGACCCTGCACTTCACACCCTGCCTCTTGGCTGCAGACATTGCCCAACCCTGTCTAGTTCTCATCTTACAAACCCTGCTACAGAGCACTACCTGTTTTAACACTGGCATTCTGGTAAGTAACTTACATGTTGCTTTACAGCTTTACTGTTTCATTTGATCAGCTATTTTAACAAATTAAGATTCAGAAACTGCTTTGTCTATTGCCTTTTGACTCTGAACTTTGTGCTACTTTCATTACCCATTCTCCCTTGATAACTATTCATCTCAAATGCATTTATTTCTAAGACTGCTGGGAGACTCTTAAACCTGTGTATCACATTTCTTTGGAACCTAAGGAAAAGTTAACAAGTATCATTACAGAACTAGGGTGTGAACAAAGTGCTATTTTATTGTTAAATGAGCTTGTTAGTCCATACGCTAAGTATTAAATTCTCATTTTAAGTCACTATAATCTGGTTCTTGCCATTTTCCGTGTACTTTTCAAAACCAACCACTATTTTTTTTTTTTTTTTTTTTGACAGGCAGAGTGGACAGTGAGAGAGAGAGACAGAGAGAAAGGTCTTCCTTTGCCGTTGGTTCACCCTCCAATGGCCGGCGCGCTGTGACCGGTGCACCGCACTGATCCGATGGCAGGAGCCAGGAGCCAGGTGCTTTTCCTGGTCTCCCATGGGGTGCAGGGCCCAAGCACCTGGGCCATCCTCCACTGCACTCCCTGGCCACAGCAGAGAGCTGGCCTGGAAGAGGGGTAACCGGGACAGAATCCGGCATCCCGCCCGGGACTAGAACCCGGTGTGCCGGCGCCGCTAGGCAGAGGATTAGCCGAGTGAGCCGCGGCGCCGGCCCCGACCACTATTTTTTATTTTATTCAAGCTGGCCTCTTAAGTGTGTGTGTTTTTAAGATTTGAAAAGAGCAACAGATCCTTCCACTGGTTCACTCCCTTGTGGCCACAGCAGCCACGCTGTGCCAGACTGAAGTCAGGAGCCTGGAACTCAATGTAGGTCTCCCTAGAAGGTAGTAGGGTGCAGCTACTTTGGCCACCTTCAGCTGTTTTCCCAGGCACGTTAGCAGGGAGCTGGATTGGAAGTGGAGCAACTATACTCAAACTGGCTCTGTGACATGGGATGCCACACCCTAAGTGGTTGCCCCTCCTCAAGTATTGTATTTCACAGCTGCTCACAGTAGTTCAAAAAGAATGTGTTCAATTCTAAAAGCATCACGTTGCGTAACGGTTACTTAGAGGCCCAGAGAGACATTTTTCTAGATCTACTTCCTTATCTAATAAAAGTACACTTAAAGTTGGAATTTCCTTTAGTTTTTTTTTCCTTCTAGTTTTAAAATAGTTTAAAATCCAATTAGTAAGCCTAGTTTGTAATTTTCTATATACCTTACATGTTACAAGAACATTCTGTTAGCTGAACTGATTTACGAACTTGAGCAAACTTTGTGTAACATAACCATATAAGACTGCCAAAGCACTAGGATATACTATGTTACAGAGATGGCTGAATTCAAGTCTCCCAGAATAGTTGCATGGTCACAGCCCTAAACCTCAGCTTATCTGTTTTCCTTAATCTGCAGCTCCTTCTGCATTCCTTTATAGGTTTGTCCTGAAGATCACCATCAACAGGAAAAGTAGTTTGAAAAAAACTGTACTTGTAAACAAAAACACTGTACAAATTTAAGTTGTTATAAATTATATTGTTTCTTATGGCTGATAAAATATCATCAAAGAAAAGTGCTTCCATAAAAGTTTTATTTATCCCCACAACAACCCTGTGAGGTAGGGTGATCAGGGCATTTGAAGATGAGAAAACTAAATCTACATTACTTGTTCACGGCTACACTGCATAGTAAATAAGTAAAAATTAAATTGAGATTTTTTTTAAATGTCCGTGACTTTATATTGATTCTTGTGGAAACAGGCAGAGAATATTAACTCCCCCTACCTTAATGCCAAAAGGACGCTGCCTTGAAAAATCCCATTTCAAAAGATGAAAGTAGTATTTCATTGCTTATTTCTACAAAGATTTATAAAATAAAAAAATAGTGAAATATTTTACAGTTAATATATATAATGTTCTCATTCAGGGACATGTCCTTTAGCTGTGTTTAAGATCAACTATTCCAAGTCCTAGAAATGCAAACTCTTTAAAAAAAAAAAAGTATGAAAAACAAAAATGGTAATGAGCAGTGGCCTCAATCTTCTTTATTATTCCTCCATGTATCTTCAATAAGTTTTGTGAAATCTGGTCCCAGTTTAAATTAAAAAACTCTCTACCATAAAGAGAAGTCTAGTAAGCTTTTATTTTGTTGCCTACTTTTAAACCACTGTCATGTTATTTGAACAGGGCTTTTGCAAACCTGGCTATTAGAACACTGGAAAACAATACAGAACTCTCCGGCTCCATTTTAGACATCATTTCCCAGGGGTAAGCTTCAGGAATCTTGTTTTAAAAGCTCCTTTGAGTAATCCTAATCAAGTCAGGTTTGGGAACAGATCTTAAAATACTAACATCAAACCCATCAACTAGTATAAACTTGCTCTCTTATCTCTTTTTTAAAAAAGATCTCAAAACATGTTATACCCCCAGACCTCTTGCCTCTGGGCAATTTAAGATACAGAGAAACATTTTATAAAAATGTATCCCTGTTAGTGAAACTTGGATTTCAATAATAATTTAATTAGCATTTAAATATAAGACACTGAGTTTTGTGGTTCTTTCTTTAAATGTATTACACAAGTTCCTAGCAGGCTTTTAAATCAGGGGAAGACATGTAAGGTAATGACATAAGCATATCAGCACTGAAAAAATATTATACTCATATATAGCTCATGAGAGGAATAAGAAAGTGAATGAATGACAACCTAAGGCCTTTTGGCCCATACATTTTTGTTCCCAGTCCACTCTTCCCCTATAAGGGGAAATAAAATAAACATTCTTTCCTAGTTGCTTGGCATAGTTATTCGGTGGGTAACTATTATCTAAGTTAATTTAGATACACAAGATTAAAAGTATAACAAATAAATACCTAGGAAGACAACTTAGAAGTCAGATCAGGAAACCTTAACTAGCTAATGATGTATTATATAACACCATCATATTAGTACAATTAAATAAAGGCTTCAGTGTCCTTTACATTTCAGCTTTATGTGATTGACACAGACGTAGAAGAGATCTGGTCCTTATGAAGAATTCTGTGCTCGCTGGAAAGATTTGTAGAAATAATGAAATGCTTTCTTCATTGATGAGATGAAGTCTATTTTTCAGGCAAGTTGACTGAACAAAACACTGAGAAATGAACTTCTTTAGGAGGCTGAATGAAAGTGAAGTGATATCTAGCTGAAAAAGGCATTGGCCAAATAATTTCTTAAGAAAGCCACTCTGTTAACCCTCAGAAAACAAAAACAAAATTAAAAAAAAAAAAAAACACCAGAGAAATATAAAAAAACAATGTACACATCCATTTCACTGACAGTTACAAGAAAATAGCCATTTATAGAAGTTACACAATGCTTTCAACAAATCCCAAACAAATTTTTGGGAAACAGATAAAGCCATCAGGTAAATAAATATACATACTAGCTAATATAAAACAATTTATGGTTATGAATTGTCACCAATTCCCCTCATAGGACCCAAGGAGAAATATGGTGATATAAATCTGATTAGGGCTACATATATTACATGAAATTCAAAAGCAACTTTATAAAACATCTTCTCTAATAATGATACAAATATTTAAAAGAATGCTTTAAAAGTCAGACATTTTATCACTGGAAATAGCACAATTTTAATATGTACTTCAGAGCTGTTATGTGTATGCAGGTCACATGAGGTATCCATCTCTCCTGCATTTACCATAGTCAGTTTTTTGAGTTTGTGTTTCCTGTATGAGCTGAAGGGACTGGGCATATCTCAATTCAAAAAATACACACCTCCAGTCAACTAAATGGAAGTGTTTAACATCTACCACCACACAAAGAAGGGATAATAGGAAGATAAAACATTAAAGTAGAAGGAAGCTGGCTAAATTGTCTCTTTATTAATTTATTTTAACTTTTGTATTAACAAATTTAAAATCCAAATAAAGTAATGAAAATATATATATATTAATTTGCTCTCAATAAATTTTTTCAGGCCATATAAAATTCCCTTAATTTCTTTATGGAAACTTGTTATATGCTTGATTCATTTTTTCGGTTGACTTAAAGGAACTCTAGCACGGGACTGAAAACAACCTTACCATAATAGAAGATGATTAAATTTTTTTTAAGTTATTACATAAAACTGTGCCCACAGGCACAATGGTACAGGTACTTTTAATTCCCTTCAAGATATGGGAAAGCCCTTTGAGACTATATTTACTTAATAAGGAAAACTTTCAGCAATTAGGATGCATGCTGAAGGTTCAAATCTTGTATAGGTTTTGCTGCTTGAGCATAAAAATGAAGGGAGCAAGGAGAAATGTAACTAGGTTCACAATTTTGAGCAAGAGCATATGTAAAGGTAACGTATGTACATTTTATTTCAAGAAAGACAGAAGACAAACAGCATAAAGATGCCCAGATGCCCTAAAGATAAATACATTTCAAAGATTCTCATTAAAATGAATCCGTAGTACTTTTTCCTGCAAGCAAAATACCTTTCTTTAAATTAAAAAAAAAAAAAAAATCAGTATTCTGAATTGCAAATGCTTTTGCTTTTTTTGCAGAAAATCTGCCATGATTATTTTTTAATGATAAGGATTTTCCACAAAACAGGCTTGCTCTACATGCTAGATTTTTAAACAGTTCAGTGACACAATATGCTAACTACATACACAACAGATAATATAGTAAGAAAACACTTAACCTGATGAAAAGTTAAAATCTTCATTAATACACTGAAAACTGACATAACTCATGCCTTTAAAATCAAAAATACAAAAAATTAAATGTTTCCTAAAAAGATTTCCTTATTTTAAGGATTCATTTGAAAATGAAGCTGCATGTAATTTGTACAATAAGTTGTACAAGTAAACAGGTAATATACATAAAAAATTAATTGACATACTCCTCAATTATCAGTTGTCCACCTTTAATTTCCAATACTGTACTTTCTTAACAAGCATACAAAATATCAAACTTCTCTTTAGAAAAAGTGCCGTTCTTTGACATCCTTTACATAAAAACAGTCTGAGCCTGTGGCATGTCAATGCAGTTGAGAGGCAAAGCATACTAACTTTTACAAATTCTACCTTCCATAAAAAGCCTCCCGAAAAGGAGATTACACACCACTATAAAAATATCAACCTCTTGTGGTAGCTGCATTAGAGAACCAAGGCTTGATGACTATTTTCATATAGCATAGAAAACCACTATGAGAGCATATTAACTGCACTGGTGGCTTGGGAGTGTACTGTGCCACAGGATTATGCATAGCTACTGTTAGGTACCAAGACTGTTACACAGAGTTTTAAAACTGATTGTAACCGAGAGCATAACAGAGGTACTACCAGCCCATGCAAAAGAACTAAAAATACTGAGTCACTGTGCTGAATACTTCATTCCTGGAGAAAACCAAAGGCAGCAGTAACTAAATCAAGCCCAACAGGTGACCAAACTCATTCTCCTCAAAGATTGGTGAACACAGTGAAGTCTGAGGTATACCTTTATCCATTAAATCTGTGTGCCATTGCCAAGATATTACCATTTGGGAATACACGCCATCACAATGGTTTAAATCTTTTGAATATTAGTCATTTGTATATTCTTTTCTACCCAGTCTCTTGATTTTTGAAAAGATTTCACCGACAGTAGAATATTACAGAAACAAAATATAAATGCATGTCTTTCTAAATGAAACTTACATGGACTAAAAGTAGAGAATATTTTTAAACAAATGTACAATGTGCAGGCAGACAAAGCAGGAAAACGGCCATTCAAATGTATAATAAAAAACTAAAAACTGACTTGACTATTCCAGAAAACTATGAAGCGCCTCAACTAAAAGGAATGCATAATGAAATTCTAATCTAATACAGGTCAACAATGTAAAAAGGTTATAAACCTTAACAGGAAAAATAAAACAACTTTTACTGGCCATTCCTGTTGAAATGAGAATCATAAAGTAACAGAAAAGTGGCTACAAACCCACTTAGAGCACCAAACAGAGAGAAAATAAAAGTCCATTTTCATCTCTGTTATTATCATAAAATCCTGTGTGACTACAGGTCAAACTGCTGGTGGCAGAAACAGAATTCTTTATAAACTGCAGATGTCCTGTACATAAAAAAATTTCACTGGAGTTGCACTAGTTCTAAAGACTCTTCTGTTTTAGCCTACCTACTGTATGTATTCAATCTGATATAGATAAAGTCTCTTTCTGTAACCCTTGATTATTATTGGGCACCAAAGATAAGAAAAAGCAAGACGGGGTACAAAAATGCAAAATTTCAACAGTAATGGCAATGTTTTTGTCTTAGTCCAAAAGGGTCCTGCATTCTCTCCCCCTTCAGTGATTTGACAAGTCTCTGTACTTAATCTGGGGGCAGCAAATCATGCAAGCGAAATCTGTCTCTGATGTGAGGTCGGACATCTTCATTCTGTGTGGAGAAAAAAAAAATTTTTAAGCTGCAAAATTTCAAAACTACAATCCTCATAACATCATAAACATTCTTAATTTGCAGAAAAAGTAGACCACTATTTTATTGTATGACTTTCTTTTCCAAATACAATCAGCCCTTTGTATACAAAGGGTCCACATTGTATATTCAACCAACCACAGATATAAAATATGGAATGGAGGAAAACACTGCCTCTGTACTCAAAACTTAAGACTTTTTGTTCTTGTTATTATTCCCTAGACAATACAGTATAACCACTATATATCCACACTGTATCAGGTACTATACCTAAGGATAATTGAAAGTTGATAGGAAGGCAGCTGGTATTGTAGTGCAGCAAGTTAAGCCATGGCTTGTGACACTGGCATCCCATATCAGAGTGCAGTTGCTCTGCTTATGATCCAGCTTCCAGCTAATGCATCTGGGAAGGCAGTAGAAGACAGCAAATGCTTGGGCCCCTGCCATCCGTGTAGGAGACCAAGACAGAGTTCCTCATTCGTGGCTTCAGCCTGGCTCTGACCCGGCTGTTGTGGCCATTTGAGGAGTGAACTAGCAGATGGAAGGTGTGTGTGTGTGTGTGTTTCCCTCATTGTGTCGCTCTGCCTTTCAAATAAATAATCTTTAAAAAATAAATAAAAGATACATGATAATGTGCATAGATTATATAAGGGGTTTGAGCGTGCAAAGATTTTGGCAGCTCCAGGACATCTTGAAACCAATCCTTCAGAGATAAAAAAGGATGAGTATATAAAGATAACACAGTTAACTTAGAACTAAATTCCAGATTTAAAAAACTTTCTCTGAAGTTTTAATTTTCTAAGAAAAATTAAGCTATAAGAGGCCAAACTAGAAGACAGGAAAAAGTGTTAATCCACTGAATTATTCTTTCTACATTAGTCTTACAATTGATCCATGCATGTAGAAAAATAATTTCCTGAATAAAGTTTCAGTGACATAAGCATTAATTCTAGATGAGAATTATGAAAGCAAAGTGAAATCAATTTAATGTTATTTCTAACATACCTTTTAGTGACTTGAAAGAGCATATTGTAATTGTCAATTAAAAACAATCTACACATTTTAAAACACTTATATCTATAATTTTAATATAATATATAAGGTTTGAACATACTCATAGTCCTTTTCAAACTATGCCTCAATCCCTCACTATAGTTGATCATTAAATTTCACTACACATAAAGTGAAAAAATTTAAAAAAATTTGTTGGAGGGCCAGCATTGTGACATAGTGGGTTAAGCTGTCACCTGCCATGCCGGCAACCCATGTGGGCACCGGTTCAAGTCCCAGCTATACTGCGCTACTTCCAATTCAGCTCCCTGCTGGTGTGCCTGGAAAAGCAACAGAAAATGGCTCAAGTGCTTGGGCCCCTGCCACCCATGTGGGAGACACAGAAGAGGCTCTGGACTCCTGGCACAGCCCTGGCCATTATAGCCATTAGGGAATGAAGCTGCAGATGGAAGATCTGTCTTTCCTTCTCTCAGTGGCTCTACCTTTTAAATAAATTATTTTTAAATTGTTTTAATATAATTAAGAAAACCAAAATATAAAAATATAAACTGTAAGATACACTTACCAGTTCTACAAGCTTCTCCAGAAATGGAATCAATTTTAGAAGTTCATTGTCATTTTTATCCATAAACCAGCTTTCTATAGGGATTCCATTAGAAAGCTGAAATGATAAATAAGTAATTAAATGTTCCTTTTACTTATATTTTGCCTGGTATGGAAAGCATAAAAAAGATACAATAAAATTATTGATTCTTAAAAGTTCTTATGAAAAGGAACGCTTCCAGAGTTGTCTCTTACAAGTCAATAGTGCAAGGGACAGATGTTAACAAAGCCTAATTGGTTTTCAGTGTCACTTTTCCTTGGTAAGCATAAAACTAAACAAGAGAGCTCCATTAAATCAAGTTTAGGACCATCACAGCTTAAACCATATCTTTATTCATTCATTCAAGAAATAGTTACTACATAGAACACTAGCAGAAAGCATACACCTTTTATTTAATCATTTTTTTTATACAGGGACTATGTCATATTTATTGTTCTACTCCTAACAACTAGCATAACCTGAAACACAGTAGGAACTGAACAAATGGATTCCATGGTGTTTCACGGAAGAGAAATCTAAAAACAAGAATGTAAATCATTTTTGTTTCTTTATATTTAAATTCAGGCTAAACATCATGTTTGAGATAGAGGATAACTGAAATGACTGTACCTAGGAAAACAAGATAAAATTCTTAAAAACATGTTTTAAAATGCAAGCAAATAAAAGCAGAGACCCGAAGTGAACACATTTCAATACCATATACAATTCTTTACATTAAAAAAATAAGTTTTATTACAGACATTTTGAAACAAAGGACCAATCTTGTCTCATCTATACCCTAATCCATTTTTCAGTTTTCCTACTCTGCTAATTTATCATGAAGCCACTCTCAGAAATTGTATCACATGGACATGTTCGGAAAGTAAAATATATTTTACAAAGATTGCTCATCTTTAGTTGTAGTTGCTTTTCAAAGAAATATTAACAGAGGGCACAAATATGTTAACAAAATAGTCTAAGAAAAATCTTTCAAAAGGTTAAACAGACCAGAAAAAAAAAAAAAAGTTAAACCAATCATAACTCCAACACGTTTATGATTAGCAGCTGTTAAGAAAAATTATTAAGCAATAGATATATTATAGTTCCATCCTATTCAGATGTACTACTCAGGTTTTCCTTCATTTATGTTGCATTCAGAAAAATTTTCCACAAAGAATATACCAATTTGGCATTTCTAATTCTAAAAGATGACACCCTAATCAGCGAAGTCCATCAGTGAAAATTCTGTTGTTCTCCCATCATATTCATAGTCTGTTTAGCAGCATTTGTCTTCATTGAATTTTTTCCAATCTGAATTTATTTAGCAACTCTATTCCTACCTGATATGCAAAGGCTTGCGGTGAGTTGTCAATTATTATAGTTTTTGAAAGATCTCTTCCAAGGATATTTAAGTCCTTTATATAGTTTCCTTGTACACAAACACAATGTTCACGGAAAAGCCGATGCCTAAATGTAAAAAAAAAAAATAATTAAAAAAAACTCTATAAAGTACAACATACATGGAAACATATACACATATATATATATATCATAGGCTTTACTAGCTAGCCCTTATTATTTTCTTTCAGAAAAGAAATTAAAATACAAATATGGGCCTAGGCTCTGGGCTACAGTTTTACTATAAAATTCACAGCAATTACTGAAACTGTATACCAAATATTACTATGACTTTAAAAACTAGTTTATCCCAAACTGTTAAATTATAAAGGAGGAGGTTAAAAAAAAATCTAAATCGTTTTTGTAATTTATTTACCCAGGAAAGCTCAGCTCAGATGCAGCATCTGGTTGTCAGCGAGGTCCTGCTTTATAACCAATTTTCCAGATGGTTGACTGAGGCACAAGGAGATCAAGTGACTTGCCCAAGGTCACACACAAAGTCAGTGGTTAGCCCCGCATTGGAACCCAGGATCCTCCTGGCTCCCAGTCCTTTGCTCTAAACCAGTAGAACACACAGCCTCCCTATCCCTGTACATGCCAGAATAGAAAATATAAAAAGGAATGTTTTTGTGTTGGCATTTTTAAGAATTCTTTTTTAGCTTTTCCTTATAGTTTTTCAGAAAAGGTACTAAGGCCAAAACATTCCATCCTGTCAACTTTTTATAAACAATCCTATTTTAATTTGTGGGAGTGTGTATGTGATCATTTGAAAAAACAGGGATTGAAAAATGATGAATTCAGATTTAAGTATTATAAATGTAGACTGATGTTTTACCAATTTTAGATAAGGAGAAAAATGCTGTAGCATTTGAAAAAGCTATTAAAGGTTTTACAATACTCATATACAATAGTAATTACAGAATCACCATTTACACTCAAAATATTAACCCCTTTATATTACTAATCATTTTTTCATACTGAAATACCCCATTCTGTACATTAATAATTGTTAGTTTGTCTTCCCTGTTTCTTAGTCCCAATAATTTCTGATAGCTATAGCCTAGTCATACCTATAGTATGAAATTATATGACTTTCTACTCATAAAATCTGTCACAGTTTGTCAAAAAATAAGTATTTTTAATACCTCCCAACACGCATAAATAGACACTCAGCCTTAAAAGTATAAATAGTGGTAGTGGAAAAGAGGATGAATTTTGCAAACAGACAAAATGTACAACAGTTCTTTCACCCACTATTATAAGAAATATTTTCAATTGGTCAAATCGTCACCTGTCTATGTAAAGTTTAAAGGCATTTCCACTTTGAAAAAAATAAGAGTAGGCAGGTATAGCAAGTAAATGCAACTCACTGTTAATGTCCCTTCACTAGTAGTAGCAAACTCAAACAAGAAACAATGAAGTAAATAGACACTGCAGTTATTTCAATTAAATTACACTAAAAACCCTTTAATTAGTCAATAACCTTATGGTCAAAACAAATACTTAAAAGTTTAGAAAAAACTTCTTATGCCAGTCATCTAAGAACAGATCCTCTATGTCAACAAATCTGCATTTTAACTCAAAGGATTCAGAAATTAGAAGAATTTCTGCACATCTACTCTGTCACCAATACAGATAATCCCAACAGCACTCTTAACAAATTCAATCTCCATCCAAAAAGCTTTTCATCTTTGAGGTTTTCTAAACAACTAAATAAAACAAGTTTAAACTCTCAGTTGTGTAGATTTTGTAAATGTAGTTTAAAAGAGGGTGTTGATTTTATAACACATTGTAATAGCATGACTATGATCTGTTCCCTACTCAAATGAACTCTCTAAAAGGGAAAGGGGCTTGTACTGCTCACCACTGTTCCTTTGGAAGGTTAGAAATGTTGAACTAAAATCTTTAGAATGTCTGAAACCATCAACGCAAAATCATTTGCATGCTTTTACCAAAGCTAGGTAAAATAACAATAAACTACAATGTACTTTTGTGACTAGGAAACAGCATTTCTCATGTGTGCTGGCAGCTTAGTTACAACTACTCAATAATAAAAGTACTAGTAATAGTAGAAATTTAAATTTAGAATTTTCCACTAAGACAATATGGGAGAAAGTATTCAAAAAATTAATGCCTAGCTATCAAAGATTTTATGAACCTTTTGTGTCATCTGTTAGCTCTTGGTTAAAAATTCCTACATCTTCGAGCCGGCGCCGTGGCTCAATAGGCTAATCCTCCACCTTGCGGCGCCGGCACACCGGGTTCTAGTCCCGGTTGGGGCGCCGGATTCTGTCCCGGTTGCCCCTCTTCCAGGCCAGCTCTCTGCTATGGCCAGGGAGTGCAGTGGAGGATGGCCCAGGTGCTTGGGCCCTGCACCCCATGGGAGACCAGGAAAAGCACCTGGATCCTGGCTCCTGCCAGGATCAGCGCGTGCGCCGGCTGCAGCGGCCGCCATGGAGGGTGAACCAGCGCCAAAGGAAGACCTTCTCTCTCGTCTCTCTCTCTCACTGTCCACTCTGCGTGTCGCACCCATCAACCAAAACAAAAAACCCACTAACGTATTTCCTACATCTTCAGGATGTAGGAAGAATGCTTCAGTCTTAATATCTGACTTTAGCTGACAAAATTAATGGAACTCTCCTGTCACTTCCCACAAAATGAGTTGAAGACAACAGTATTTTTCTCGATTTGCCTGGTTGTGACTTTTTAAAAATAAATGAAAGGAAAGAAAAAAAAATTAATGGAACTAATTTTCAAAATGTTTTAAAAATCACCCAAGGCACTCCTGACTAACCAAGAAACACAATATGTCTGCTGGCCAGGTGCACAAATAGCTGAGTTCAGCGCTGGACGGCCCAAATGATTTAATCAATTATAGTTGACAACTGGGTTCATGTTAACATTTTCTTTCCATGGAAGATAAATTCAGTCTTGGGGGGAGGGGGGGGTTTAAGAACCTTTCTGTTGATAAAACTTTTATTTCTCTAGATGTTAAAAAGGAATTATGACATGCATTATCTCAGAGACAAAAGGAAATGAAGCATCATGAAACTGTTAAAAAAAATTCCACACACATTCACCTCCCTCCAATCCCGAAAGAAGTGAGGATATGGATGTCACAGTGAATAAATACATTTGGTCTTTGTATCCTTTAAAGAGCGTCTGTCTGCTGTTATCATGAACTCCTCAAGAGTTTTCAGGTTTAAAAATTTATTTATTTTCACCATTCAACACAATAAATTTCTATATATGCAGCCAACTTAAAATGGCCATTAAAATTAAATAGAATCATAATAATTTCATAGATAAATGTGACAGACATTTCCACTATTTCTTAATTAAATTTACCTGACCAGTTGCTTTTTAGGGTCTAGTATGTTCAGTAACTTGTCTGCATACACCTTCTTAGAAGCAGTAAAAAGAATGATCTACAAATTCAGGGGAAAAGAAGTAATCATTATACATGATCTAAATATGGGTACTACAATGAATAATTTTAAAATACATACATAATTCACAAAGTATGTTTACCTCATACATCTGAGACATTCGTTCCAGGAATTCCCTGAAGAATGGTCTTAACCTCACGTAAACCTGAAGAAATACAAAAATGAGATTCAGAAAGTAAACATAAAATGGAAGTCACTTATTTTTATGACATGTTTTAATGGGATACAATTAAAAATTCATATTTTAAAGTAACAGAAAAGTTTACTAAGTTCTATGCAAACCAAATGTATTTCACATAGAAGAGATCACTTCAAACAATCTTAAAAGTAGGGTAGTTAATCACTGGTCATCACTTCACTTTTAATAAAATTCAGCAAACAATAGTAACAGTATTTCATTGGAATTTAATTTTAATAAACAGTTAAACTAAAAATGGAAGGTTTCTCTCTGAGATTTTGATCCACCAATCAGCTCCATCTTCCAGCCAGGTAGCATCCATCCAAATACTAGGCAGGCTGTGTGTCCACCTCTAGCTGACCTGTCTCAATGACCATCTCCTCAATAACATCTTAGAATTTCTTCTCATTAATCACCTACTAAAAATACTTTTGTAATTCTATTAAGATAAATAATATTCAAGAAGATGTCTAGATTGGTGGGTTTAAATAGTTTCTAAAATAACAATCTTGTACATTTAGAGATTAAGATGTAGCATCTAAATTTGCACTACTGGACTACTTCATATTAAAAATTTAACAGTCAAATGCACCTGTTCTTGCAACCTACTGGTCAATATCAGGAGAGTTTACAGCCTTATACAAATTATTTCATATTTTTCCGTTTTCTTGCCTACATTTAATGTTCTTGTAACATATATACTTCATTATTCAAAAAGCACAGAAATAATAAGCCATGAGCAACCACTAAAACTATATACAAAAGATTCTGGCCCTCTGTTATATTCATTTTGAGCAGTGGATGTTTGGCATAGCAGCTAAGATGGCCAGATCCCATATCAGGGTGCCTGGGTTCAAGTCCCAGCTCTGCATGGGATTCCAGCTTCCCGCTAATGAGGCCCAGGGAGGCAGCAGGTGATGACTCAAGTATTTGGGTCCCTGCCATCAACATGGGAGACCTGTAATGAGTTGGTACGGTTCAACATGGCCCAGGCCCAGCTGTTGTGGGCACCTGGGGAGTTAACCAGTGATGGAAATTATTCAGCTCAGATACCATGAATAAAAATATTGCTGAACCAGATTCAAATCTAAGTTTTAGAGAATTTAATTATGGCCTCCATACATATTCACACAAAAATGGCCCCATGACAAAATCTAGTTCTGGTAAAGTTTTAGGGCAAAACAAGGAAAGCATGCAAAGGACTCCTGGAAGTCAGGGATGGTATTTTACCAATGTTTCTAATTCCTAAAGCCCTAAAAAAGGGCTAAAAATAATGCTAAATGTATAGTAGGCACCTGTGAAAAATCAGCTGAGTAAACAAAATAGAATTATCTAAAATTAAGGAATATAGACAAATGGAGAAAATGCAAACCTATGTGACTACACAAATACAAATATTCAATTTCCTTCAGATCTGACCACATACTAAGGACAAAATTTTGAGTGATTAGTAGTATACAATGATTCTGTCCCCATCTCTGAACAACAGCATTAATTCCATTAATCAAGCATTTTAATTTCTGGACTAATTTTTTTAAAAGTCACATATTCCTCCTCTTAGCAAATAAAAATAACCAGATGCTCACTACTTAATAACTATAATTTAGGACAATATATTAAAAAAACTACAGTGACTCTTCTAGTCAACTTCAGCATAATAGCTTTAGTTGAAAACCACACAAACCATATTTGTTTGGTAAGCCAAGTAATGTAAGATTTTAAATACATTACTATTTTACTAGTAAAATCATTTTTATTAGCTATGGGTCTTTTCAAAATAAAATTAAGGTTAAGAAAAGCCTATTCTGCCAATTTTTTTTAATTACCTCATTTCAAGATAGATGCTTAACTATGAACCATCAGAACCTTTTATTTGTTGCTAAGGTTCATCCCTTCTATAACTTAATAATCAAAAATATTTCATTTTTTCATGTTTCATCTATTTTCAGTATTGTTGCTATTATTTGCACCATCCAGTAAACTAAGATAAACAGGGCCTCTGCCATTTAGGATTGTTTCTGAACACCATACATTTCCACTGCAAAGGAATAGTTCCACTCAAAACATTTTCCAAGCATGGTAAGTAGAACACTGTTAAAAGGTGACATTTTCCAACTTCCTATACAGTAATATCTACATTAGGTTAAAACTGTAATTTCATTACAAACTTAATCTATTCGACTATTTAAATACAGCATACATCTTCAATTTGACATTGCTTTCAAAATATATTTGTTTATTGGGAATGAAAGGCAACAATGAAGATGGAGGGACATATTGCTACAGTTTCCTATTTGTAGAAGAAAAAGTTTCCTTTACCATGAAAAAAGATAGAATAACTGATGACTGTAAAAGTTTCTATCCTCAGAAAACTACTTGCCACCTAAATTAGAACAGAAAGATGTTTTAGGATTAAAAGACATAGGCAAAGACTGAGATAATGAAGAAAAGAATGTAGAAAAGCACAATGTAATAAGCGAACAGGTCTGCAGTTACGGACACAAAGGGCTCTGCCATGGAATGCAAAAGCAAAATCTCAGAAACAAAGGCAGAAACAGCAATACAAGGCCAGATGGGTCTGAATCATTTGTATTAAAGGTTATGTGTGAGCATTAATATATATAAACTACAGAAGCACTATATAGTGTCCAGTAGGAACAAATGAAGAACATGTATAAGGTATACACAGGTATACAAGTGAGACTACCAAATCTTTATTGGGTTAGGTCACAAATACACAAACACAGATACACATGTACACATAGGCATGCCTCCAAATACTTCAAAATCTATCCACTGATGCCATTAGCTCCACTTTCCTTCTGTTAACTACTTCCATACAAAGATTCCTGTCCTAAGCTCTTCCTACTTTCTATTTTCTAGATTTCCTTAATTCACATCTTAGTATTTCCAAACCATCCTTCAAACTGCATTTTTCAGAACTAAGTAACTTTTCCAAGGCCAAAAGATTCATTTCAGTCTAGTAATTATTCTATCTATCCTACAAATAGTTTAAATGTTCTCCCAATAAACCAAGTATATTTTGAAAAATAAGAACTTTAAAAATGTTAAATACCATAAGAAAAATTATATAAAAATATGACTACTACTATATGACAGAAATTTAAGAATATGTTCATTATGCAAAGCTTAACAGCCTATTACAATAATATCTACAAAACAATGATAATGGAGCTAATCTTACATAATCTGTTGTGGGTAGATTTTAACAAATTAAATTTTATAAAGAAAGCCATGAATATATAAGAAAAACCTACATAAACACTTTTAACACAAAAAATGCCTGACAACCTGCATTTTATTTGGTATTAAGATGAGAACTGAGGGGCCAGCGCTGTGGTGCAGTGGGTTAAGCCCTGGCATGAAGTGCCGGCATCCCATGTGAGCACCGGTTCGAGTCCCAGCTGCTTTTCTCCCGATCCAGCTCTCTGCTGTGGCCTGGGAAAGCAGTAGAAGATGGCCCAAGTCCTTGTGCCCCTGCACCCGTGTGGGAGACCCGGAAGAAGCTCCAGGGGATCAGTGCAGTTCCGGCCATTGCGGCCAACTGGGGAGTGAACCATCAGATGGAAGACCAATCTCTCTGCCTCTCCTCTCTATGTGTAACTCTGACTTTCAAATAAATAAAATAAATCTTAAAAAAAAAAAAAAGATAACTGCCTATAATTCTATGTAGACAGTACTAATAACCCACTAATAAAGAACTAGGTTTAAAAAAAGTATTCATTGAAATAAAAATCACATATAAACTGATTATAAATATGGTGTGGTAAAGTCTGTCATTCACATTCTATACTGAGTAATTTCTAATTATTAAACAAAGGTTACTCTAACATCACAAACAATTTTAACAGTATCTGACACCTTCCACCCCTGGCCAAAAAAGCCACCCAAAGATAAGCAGTTTCAACTTGTGGGCAAATGGCTAAGATGAAAAATTATCTTAGATGTCCATCTTTTCAGGAACAAATATTTCTAAATAATTTTTTAACTCAATATAGTCTTAGCATTGAAAAAGTAATATATTTTATACTTTCTCTATGATATCCTCTAACTTACCCTAATATAGCAATAGATTGAAAAATGCATACAGTGGGACACACTCACTTGTGAGTATGGCATGATTTCTTTGAAATTTAAAGACAATGGAGTCAGCACTGTGGTGCAGTAGGTAAAGACACTGCCTGCAGTGCTGGCATCCCATATGGGTGCCAGGTCGAGTACTGGCAGATCCACTTCCAGTCCAGCTCTCTGCTAAAGAGCCTGGGAAAGCAGTGGAGGATCACCCAAGTACTTCAGCCCCTGCACCCACGTGAAGACCCAAAAGAAGCTCCTGGCTTGGCTAGTGGGTAAAGCCACTGCCTGCAGTGCCAGCATCCCATATGGGCACCGGTTCTAGTCCTGGCTGCTCCACTTTTGATCTAGCTCTCTGATGTGGCCTGGGAAATCAGTAGAAGATGGCCCAAGTCCTCAGGCCCCTACACTCACATGGGAGACCCAGAAGAAGCTCCTGGCTTCGGATCGGCACAGCTCCGGCTGTTGCAGCCAATTGGGGAGTGAACCATTGGATGAAAAACCTCTCTCTGTCTCTGCCTCTCGTCCTCTCTCTGTGTAACTCTTTCAAATAAATAAATATTAAAAAAAAAAAAAAAAAAAACAACTCCTGACTCTAGTCTCACCCAGTCCTGGCCACTGCCAAGATTTGGGGAGTGAACCAGCGGATTGAGGGCCTCTCTCTCTTTGCCTCTCCCTCTATAACTGTATTGTAAACAAACAAATAAAGAGAGAGAGAGAGAGAGAGATGATTGATGGGTTCTAGTTTATTTAATAAGCAGCAGAAACTAGCAACATCGGGGAATGGTGAAGAATGAGAAACTATAAAATCTTACTGTTAGTGAATACCCAGGCATACAAATGGCTCTGCCAGTTTTCTAACTCTTAAGAACACC